AATCGCCGAGCTCTCATAATCGAGGATGAATTTAAAAACACTTACTTTTGCTGATTATTGTAAACCGAGTTATCTTTAACAGGCTGGTGACCATATAAAATCAATCCTTGCACATTTCCAAATCCTTATCCGAATGATTTTGAAAGCGTTGGTCTTGAAAATGTTTGAATTTGAAAAAGGTAGTAGTCTGTTTCAGCAAATCAGTTTAATGAACTAAAAACACGCGCTGTCAGAATTTGTTGTTGTAGTTATGTTTTTCGTGTATATTATTAATAAGTAATCAGATGATTTTTCTCGTGCAATTTGGAATAAATAAGCACTTGAAAATTTTTCAAAGACCAACAAAAGTGCACGATCCCGAAGGGTAAAGAGTAAAATTTACTCGTGCTTATTTATTGCAAATTGCACTCGAAATCATGTGATTATCTATATAAATTTGTTAGAAACCGATGAGTCATGCCATTTACCAATGCCATGGCAGTACCGGCTCGATCAATTTCCCGAAATGCCACAAACACCAAAAAAATAAAAAATAATAAATAAATAAAGGAAAAATAATGATAACAATACAGTTAAAAAGAAAATTGCAATACTATCGTGATATTTCTGATTCATTATTATAACACACTTGCACGAGAAGACAAACTGAAGATACCGTTTTGATCATACAGATGGTATAGAGCGCGTTTTGCGAGAGGCAAGGAGAAATCGTCAAGTGATATGTCAAGTCCTCTCCAAGACTTTTGCGTCGCACAATGGCGATCGACAAACACCGACACATGTGAGTAGCTAGCTCGTGTATTCTTAATAGATTTATAGAGTATTTGGTTCAACCGATCGAGTAAATGTGAACATAATAGGGGGTTCATTTCTCCGTGAAATGGGTCTACTCGGGAAGGTTAACATAAGTTTCATAGTTCCTTTCTAAAAATATACACATAGGTGAAAAAAAGACCCTTCCTTGCTTTAAAGAAAGGCCTCGAGACCTCTTTTCCTTCGACGCGTTAGGACCCGTTTCGCCTTGTTCACAGTTTTACTTCTTGATTTTTAAGCGAGAAACCTAGGCTATAACTATGAATATAGTAAAAGACTAAAAGGATCAAACATTGTTTAAAGAGGTTTGAAAAGATGTTTACAAGAACTTTCACCCAAAAAATTGCATTCACTGTACATAAAACTGTATGGATTTGTCGAGCTAGGTGGCCATGGAGTTCTTGTAAACATATTTTTAAACAGCTTTAAACAATGTTTGATACTTTTATTCTTTTATAATATTTATAGTTACAGCCGGTTGCTGCAGGAGCGCTTAGGGGCCCTTTTCAGGGATCCTGTTATTTTTGTGCTGGTCTTGCTACTCATAGGCCTTTGGTGGGTATTTTATTACGTCTAGTTTAAAGGCTCCGCTTCAGGATTGTAATTTAGTGTTTACCTATATGAAAGTTCAGGGGCAGTGAATTGGGAACCTATTGTGCTTTGGCAGCTTTATTATGTTGTTTGCTCTTAGCTCAGTAGTATCTTTTGATTTAAACTTCTATATGTTACACAACCTTCATCAATAGCATCTTTAGTTTTAATTCCATGCTTTGTATTTTGTATTTTAATTCGCTACGTACCCTTTGTTCACTATAATCCTTTGTTTTCTGTTCAACCTGTTATGTAACCTTTGTATATTTAGTGTTTTACTTAATCTAGTAATTGTTGACGCGAGTATATGTCTTGTTTGAAGTATTATTATTTGTAACTGATGAGGGTATTGTAACCGAAACGTTTTAGTAAATTTTATTCTGTATGTCCTTTTATAATCCAATACATATATCTAGCCGGATTTTTGAAAACACTATCTCCAAAGTAGCTATTATAAAAACTAAGAGTGCAATCATTGCTTTTTTCTCTTCTCCTACTTTCCTTCTCCTCGCTCTTTCTTTTCTCATTTCCTTTTCCTTCATTACTGTGATTTTGGAGCTTCTCGGGTTTAAGAAAACCTTCGTTTTGAGGACTTTTCACCCAAATGACTGCAAATCTCGTTAGGTTGGTTTTCAAAAAATCGGCTATCTATCTATCTATCTATCTATCTATCTATCTATCTATCTATCTATCTATCTATCTATCTATCTTTCTATCTTTCTATCTATCTATCTATCTATCTATCTATCTATCTATCTTTCTATCTTTCTTTCTATCTATCTATCTATCTATCTATCTATCTATCTATCTATCTATCTATCTATCTATCTATCTATCTTTCTATCTATCTATCTATCTATCTTTCTATCTTTCTATCTATCTATCTATCTATCTATCTATCTATCTATCTAAGCTGGATTTATGAAAACCGCACCAGCTGGCTCCTCGAGGCCACACACCTTAAACCGACACAACTAAGTAAATATTGCCAAGAAACTCAGCTCTTACACAAGGTTCTCTCAAGATGACTCTCTTCTTGGTTCCTGATTAGCAAAGAAACATTGAAAGTGCATCAAAAAGACACTCTGGACTTGGCCATACACACTAACTGCGTGAAGGCTCTACATGACAGAAGATGCTTGAGAGTTAAGCACGTTTTAAGCAGAGAATTCAAGGCCACATCACCCCCCCTGACTTTCTCCTCCACCCCAGCCTAGCACGTGCTTGAGGGAGATGCTTTCATTGGCCAATAGGGCTCAAACATTAAAAGAATTTGACATGACAGACTTAAGGCAGACATGACGAGTGCACTGACTCTGCCGGAACAAGACT